CTGACACGGGGCTCGAACTCGCAAACTGTGAGATCATGACCTGAGCCAAAGTCGGATGTTTAACCGGCTGAGCCACCCAGGCACCCCTGGATTTATTTTAGATTGCCACATTGGGGTACAAAGATTCAGAGCTGCATCCCAGTCTGAGTATTTTGATGAGTCCAGAGTATCTACTCTGGTCACATGGATGAAAGATCGGAGCGTGAGTCTTGCCTTTGCTTTCTTGGCATTTTACACTTGGCTTTAGGCCAGTTTTAACTTGAATAGCCAACTTCCCTGGTACCTCCCATTTCAGTCTTCTCTTGTTTTGGCCTAGCCCCAGTAGGACAATGAAAGAAAAGAATGTTTTAGTCTTCAGTAGAATAAAAAAGCAAGCTCTGATTTTGAAGTACAACTGGAGAAAACCTTAGTCTAACTTAGCAGAGAAGTTTAAAATTTCATTGAAAATTTTAGTTGAATCTAAAATTTCATCCTGTAAGGATAATTTGTAACAGTTTGGGGGGGGGTGTAAAATTTAAAAAAGTCCTCTTCCACTAAACACTCTTACTGTCTTTACCATTCAGAAACTTGTGGAAGGGACTTTCAGTGTCACTGAGACCATCTCCCTTCCTTAACAAAAAGGGGTTGATGTGCCTATACAGTGGCAAGTCACAGAGATGGGGGGAGAACCTTGTTCTCCTGAACCTATGTTCTATCCATTATACCAGCTTGTTTCTCATTTTGAGCCCCAAATTGACTTTCTAGGATAGGTTGCTAACCAGTCTTTACATACCTCTCTAGCTGGGTTGGAAGCAACTTGAAGGCAGTAACTAAGCCTTATACTTCTAAATCCATATAACTATGTGTATTTATTGTACATGCTTTGCACACTGAATGAGTTCATTAAATTTCTGTTGAATTCAATAGATCAATGCTTTTTTGTTGAAGAATTAATGATTTAGGAAAAAAGAGCTAAGGGGTTACTGAAGACAAAGGCTTTTGGAGAAATAAAATGTTGACCATATTTGGTTAGAGAAAAGGGTCAGAGGATTCTAATGAGTTAATGATCTTTCTGAGTATTGACAGTTAATTTGCTATTCACTCAGCTGATGTCTATGTAAGGAAAAAAAAATTACAAGCAAGTTAAACTGAGAAATGTTCAGTTTTAGGGTGGGGGTTAGTTTTTATTTTTTTGCAGATAGAGACGTTCTCTGGGTCTCTTGCAGTCTGGGTGGGTAGGACTGAGAGGGAGGAAATATGTTATGGGCTGATAATAGGAGTATTGCCCTGCAGATAGTACTTCCAGAGAAGGCTTGCAAGAAACATATTTCTTCCCGCTTTTACTTTTTCAGGGGAGATATTCAGGCATTTCTGGTTTTCTTTTCATGAGTTGTGTTGTGTTGCTGAACGTGATCCAGTTACCGCTGGAATTGAAAATGCGACAGCGCCTCCTCCCTTAATCCCTGAGTTCTCTGTGGAGGACCAGGAGCCATCTGGATGTCAGGAGAGGAAGCGCTTAATGAGCTCCTTTTTGTTTTGCTCCAAAGACTTTTGAATTAATTGTTAAATTCCCTTTAACTGAGAAGCCTACCTTTGCTTTGATACGGTATTAAAGGGGTGCAATTCCAGGGGCTCCGTGATGGACATATGCACCAACAACTGTTGCTTTGTGTTTTGACTCTCTCCCCCTGGCTCCCCACATCCATGGCCCTACAGGTGCCTGCTGTGGGGAACTTCTGACCTGTCCTCTTGGTTCATGGTGCTTGATCTAGGCTGTTTCCAGGTGGCTTGGCCCTCCTGTGAGACAGACATCAATTGCAAAGATCAGAGTGGGCTGGGTTTTGAAGAGGTTTTTCAAATTCTCCTTTGCAAACCTGCTGAGAGATGCGGTGTTCTTTCATGTTTCCATTCCAGCTGTCTTTTGAGAGGGCAAATGGAGGGTCTTCTTGTGACCAGGGGCTATTGATATTGGCTGCAAATTCATTTGAAATTAATTTCTACATTTTTGTCACAGGTATCTAACAGCCATTGTATTTCCTTGATCTTGACATCGCTGTAGCAAGGCTGCCAGTGATTAAGAAGGAGAACAATTTCATTATACTCACTAAGGGAAAAGTTCTCATTCATCATGGGGGTTATATCGAATGCCGTTCTTCGTTCTCTCTTTTGCATGATATTAGGTCCTGAGTAATAGCATGACTATTACAGGATTGTATTAGTTATGTAGTTAAGCTTCTAGTGATACTTCCTTATGCAATCATTAATACATTTATTGACTGCCCACTGTATGCCAGACACCATGGGGTTTCAACTTTACCATTTTCTATTCTCACAACAACCTTACAAGATAGTTGGTATCTTTGTTTTACAGATGCATAAAAAAGCAAAACAAAATAAAACTGAATCTAAGATTTAATTAAATCCCATGTTAGGTATGTATATGGAGAGGCCTTTGGTCTACTGAGTCTGAGATCTGTTTTCTTTGTACTATTCCAGGGAGTCATAAGCAAGCCCCCTCTCTTTGTTTTATCAGGATAAAACACCCATTTGTTTGCATATCATCCCTGGTTACTTTCATGCTATAATGGCAAGAGTTGGATAGTTCTCACGGAGAACGTGTGGTCCGCAAAGCAAAAAATAATATTATCTGGACCTTTAAGAAAAAAGTTTGCCAAGCCCTCCTGATAGTAGCCACATCATTAGCAAATAGGACAGTTTTTCTGGCTGCATACTGCAGTGACAAAACCCAGAGCCTGTCTGTTCATCTGTCTGTATCGTTTTTTTCATTTTCGTTTCCTTTTGTCTTCTAAATATTTTTGTTAGGATTCTGTAGTGGGTAGGGGCTTTTACCTCTGAGTCTCAATGCCAGTTATTAATGGTTTGATGGATTTATTAAGTGATTTCCTGTCAGGACCTTGAAATAGATTGTTTGAGATTCTAAATGGTTTTGCCAACTGTAAGTTTTTCTGTGTGTCTGTCTGTCTCAAGGGGAAATGAGTCAGGTAATGGAATAGTCTGACGATTTAGCAAGTTCAGTAGCTCTCGTTTTGAAGATGTTTTCGCCTGACCTTAATGTACTATTATGTTTACAAATTCTAGCTAAGGTAGGTTTGAAGAAATAGGAATATTAGTTTCATGCTCCTCAGCTTTGCCTATGAGGACGGAAGTTTTGTGAGGCAGCAGTTTTCAAATTGTCTGTGTACATAAACACTTTAGGATGCTTACTAAAAACACATGTAGATTCCCAGACCCTCAGTCCTGGAGATTCTGAATCCGTGGGTCAACTGTAGGTGTCCCTGATGCTTCTGAGGAGACTGGGGAGTGCAGTCCTGTCTTAATGCAGTGATTCTAGGTATCCACATAAGGATAGTATCCATGACTGTTTTTTTTTTTTTTTTTAAATCTTGGTTCAGTTTACCTTGAAATGTGAATGTTGTAAAATTTATTTATTTAAGTAAAACATCATAGGAAAATTATGCTGCTGTAAATGTATTTTAACTACTACTTTCTTGTACTACTGCTAATAGTGACAATAAACATTTTGTGTTTTATGTAGTGCTTTATAGTTATGGAGTTCCTCATTATACACATCTCATTTGCTTTTTATGTCACCCCTTGAGGTATAGATGTGGCAACTAATATAACTTTGATTTGTCAAACAAGGAAACAGATTTGGAAAACAAGTGATTTCTGTATTCTACAGCTAGTAAGCCATACCTCTAGAATTCCTGTACACCAGTTCTAATTTCTAGCCTGGTGTTCTGTGCAGTATACCATAGTGTCCTTATGACACCTATTTTGGTTTTTAGAGGAAAGTATAATCAGGTGTAACTCATTGCCTTCTGATAAGAAGGATGAGTTGTGCATAATTAAATCCTTCGGTAATCTCCCATAGGTGACTCACTGCGGAGTTGATAACCAGCATATACAGATTGGCAAATCGGTTGTCTTTATAGAACTTCCCTAGCACGGAAGAAGAAATGTCTCTCCTTTCTTTGACAGAAGCTTTATAAGACATGTCGGGAGATGCAGGAGAGGATCATGGACCTGCTTGTGGTGGTGGAGAATGAAGACGTAACCATTGAGCTAATTCAAGTGAATGAGGATTTGAATAATGCCATCCTTGGATGTGAGAGGTGAGCTGATGGTGCACCCTCCCCTCTTCCAATTCTATTTTTCCCACCAGTTGCTCAGCATTCTTATAAGAGTGTCTACCAGGTGAACCTCAGTTAAGATCAAGAACAACTTCAGGATAAGGCCGCCTTCCTTCCAAGATAGGGAATGTTGTCCTGGCCTTCTGGGAGCTTGTGATATGGCTTGCAAGAATGAGAGCACATCTGAGCAATGCCAGGAGCATTCTTAAGCACTCTCAGGCTGTATATAAACGTTTGACCATGGTGGGGCTTGGACCTGATACTGTCCGCACAGAGTACATTGTAGACTCAAACAAATGAAGAGTGTAAACAAAGCAGGGAGATTTATTCTAAGTTTGAGATGGACAAAAACATAGAATGTGCACAGGAGATGGGAGGATATTTTATTTATTTTTTAAATAATTTTTTTTTTTTTTAAATTTTTTTTTCAACGTTTTTATTTATTTATGGGACAGACAGAGACAGAGCATGAACGGGGGAGGGGCAGAGAGAGAGGGAGACACAGAATTGGAAACGGGCTCCAGGCTCCGAGCCATCAGCCCAGAGCCCGACGCGGGGCTCGAACTCACGGACCGTGAGATCGTGACCTGGCTGAAGTTGGACGCTTAACCGACTGCACCACCCAGGCGCCCCTTAAATAATTTTTTAAAGTATATTTTTCTTTGAGAGGAAGATAGAGAGCAAGCAGGGGAGGGACTGAGAGGAGACAGAATCCCAAGCAGGCTCTGCACTGCCAGCACAGAGCCTGATGCTGATGTGGGGTTCAAACTCACGAATCACAAGATCATGACCCAAGCTGAAGTCAAGAGTCGGATGCTTAACCAACTGAGCCATCCAGGCACCCTGGGAGGATATTTTATATGAAGAAAATAGTCTGTGTAAAACCGTACCAGTCAGTAAGGACATTTTGTATATGAACATAGATTTTTTTTTAATTGCCATTCAGAAAAGTATGAAGGCAAAATTGTAAATATACTAAAATGTTAGTGACAAAATTATTTTTTCCTAAATTTTTTTATCATTGTGATCATGTAGAGAACATATGCTTTTGTTTCTCTCTCGATTTTATTCATTGTATAACAAGTATTGGTATAGCCTATTTTTTTTAAGTTTATTTATTTGGTAGTGGAGGGGCAGAGAGAGAGGGAGAAAGGGAATCCCAAGCAGGCTCCACACTGTCAGCACAGAGCCTGATATAGGGCTTAATCCCATGAACTGTGAGATCATAACCTGAGCTGAATTGAGTCAGATGCTTAACCAACTGAGCTACCTGGGCGCCCCTAGTCTATGTTTTTAAATGCTTTTGATAAACCATTTTGTATTTTTGTTTAAAAAAATTTTTTTTATGTTTATTTTTGAGAGAGAGAGAGAGGGAGAGAGACAGACAGAGCATGAGCAGGGGAGGGGCAGAGAGAGAGGGAGACAGAATCCGAAGCAAGCTCCAGGCTCTGAGCTAGCAGCACAGAGCCCGACGTGGGACTCGAACCCATGAACTGTGAGATCATGACCTGAGCCGAAGTCAGATGCTCAACCGACTGAGCCACCCAGGTGCCCTATAAACCATTTTTTTTAATAGTTGCATAATAATAGTCCATGTTTCTCACAGTTATTAGGCATTAAGTTGTTTCTAAGTCATTCATCAAAATAAGAGTCTTATAATCTATTGTAATAGGCAAGCCTATAAGTCAGAAAAATATCTTAAATAGTATGTACAAATATACACACTGGGAAATTGGAATAAGTACAGTGGAACCAAGTACAAGAGGTCTGTCTGGTGAGAATAGCAGCCGGACTTAATCTGGGTGGAGAGAAGGCAGGGGGAGTGTGTCTGAGGAGGTGCCATGTGAGGAGAGAACTGCAGAATGAGTGGTCGTTGGTTAATAGGAGCAGAGCAAGAGCTTGTATGGTATGTGAAGCTATGGAAAGTAGACAGGCCTGGGGGGAGAGTGAGCATCCAGAATCCAGCCCCAATCCAGCCCTGTGGCATGCCTAGACTGACAAGTGACATCTTCCTCTGTTTTCATGTAGAGTACTGTGTATAAACATAGCTTCATGTGGAATCTAACAAAAACAAAAAAACAAGAAAAGCAAAAACAACACAAAACCAACTAAGTTCCTAGGTGCAGAGGAACATGGTGGTGGTTGCCAGGGGTGGGGAGTAGGAGAAATGGGGGAAGGGGGGGTGTCCAAAGGTAAAAAAATAAAATAAAATAATTAAAAGCAAGGAACAGCAGCCAAATGTAATGTGTGGGCTTTATCCAACTTTGAACACACTAATATTAAAAAGCATTTAGATACTAATGGGAGAAATTTGAGCATGGATAGAATATTAATATTTCAGGACTTAAGGGGGTAAATATAATGGTTAAATAGGTGGTTCAGTTGGAAAATGTCTTTATTTTTGGCGAATACCTTCTAAAGCATCTACAGATGAGGGGCATCTGGGTGGCTCAGTTGGTTGAGCCTCAAACTCTTGATTTCGGCTCAAGTCATGATCCCATGATCCCAGGAGCATGGGACCAAGCCCTGCATGGGGCTCCATGTTGAACATGGAGCCTGCTTGAGAGTCCCTCTACCCCTCTCCCCCTTTCCATCTCTCCCTTTCTCCCTTTCTCCCTTCCTCCTTCCTCCTTCCTCCTTCCTCCTTCTCCTCTCCTCCCTCTCCCCGACTCACGAGCATGCTCCCTCTCTCTCTTACTCTAAAAAATAAATAAATAAATAATACAAAATGTCTAGGGATGAAATGTCATAAAGTATATGATTTTAAATATTTCAATGAAAAATCTATAAAGCAAATGTGGCAAAGGTACATGGTTATTAAATTTAGCTGATGAATAAAAGGGTGTTCATTATACTGTTCTTTTTACTTTCCTATAGGTTTGAAAGTTACCTAATAAAAAGTTAAAGTAAATGAACCTGGGTTAACAATTAATGTCACCTACATAAAACAACCTATTTTGGCACTTTTAAAATGTTGTATAAAACAGTTGTACATAAATGAACCCATAGGTGTATTTTAGGAATCTGAGAAGAGAAAAAAAAGAAAACCCTAGTTGCAGGCAAGTCTCATGTTCTCTTTCCAAACCAATCCGTAGGACTTCCTGTGAAGTAATTCTAGAGCCTCTGAGCTCCCCATGCTTTTTCTAGATCCTCCTTTCTCAATAGGAGTGATGTTGGCATTTGGGGTGAGACAGTTTTCCCTTGTGTGGTCCCTCCTTAGTGATTCAGAAGGGAAATAGGGAATAGGACTAGATTCAAGTTTGTTTTTTGTTTTTTTTTATTCAAATCTTGATGATTTGGGGAAAATTGCTTACTTTTTTAAGACTGAGGTTTGTTCCTGTTTGTTAACGATAATACTACCTATTTGGAGGGTTTCATTTTTGTTTTGAAAATTAAATGAGTTAATGTATATAAAAGCACCTTGGGGAATGCTAGCCCGTTGACACTCATTAAATATTAATTCTATCTCCTCCCCATTAGCATCCCTCTGGGCCTTTTAGAATTTTTTCCATTGATCAAGAATGAACCAGGAGAATCAGTGAAGTAAGACCAATAGCTATGAATAGGTTTTTTCCTTCACTATCTCGTATGTACTGCCTATCAGAGACAGCAGCCATTCATATGAAGGGATGACTGGGCGTTGGCTGAACACTGAACAAACTCATGCTGTTGCCTTTGTTTTCTGTGGTATGACTCAGTAAGTGGAAAAATAAGGAAAACCGCATGGTTTTCATCAGAGTGCTGCCTTCTGGTTTTCATCTTGGGGAATTCTATTACAAACCATTAAGACCACTGACTAAAAGCTTCCTCTGAAGGGAAATGTGTATTTACTTGGTCTAGGTATCAGGAGATTGGGTTCCTTCTGTGAACAGCTCATTCTCATTCAGCTCTGAACCATGTGTGTTAAACCCAACTTCAGTCAGTGGTGATATGGAAACACTGAAGTTTTAAGATTCAGAGAGAATTTTTTCACCTCTAAAGGATAATATTCTTGGTGTATTCATTTCTTATGGCTGCTGTAACAAATTATCACACATTTTAGTGGCTCAAAAAAGCATGAACTTAACTACCTTACAGTCCCGTAAGAGCCTGAAATGGGTCTCACTGGGCTAACATCCAGGTGTCAACAGTGCTGTGTTCCTTTTTGGAGGCTCTAGAGGAGAATCCGTTTGCTTAATTTGTGCAGCTTCTAGAGCCTGTCCACAGTCCTTGGCTCATGACCCCTTTCCTCCATCTTCAAAGACAACATCATCCAGTCAAGTTTTTCTTACATTGTTTCATTCTTGCTTCCTCTTCTGCCGCCTCTTCCACATTAAAGGGCCTTTGTGCTTACATTGCTTGTCTGTGTAATCCAGGATAATCTCCCTATTAACGTCTCCCTTCCATTTGCCATCTAACCTAACATATTCACTGTTCGGATGATGAGGATACAGAGATCTCGGACAGGGGGCATTCTTCTATTCATCACAGTCTGCTCTCTTGTTCCCTAAAGATTCACATCCATCCATATGCAAAGTACATTCACCCTATTCCAACATCCCCCAAAGTCTCTGCCCTTGACATCTAGGGAAGAGTTGTACAAATAAGAAAACAGAAGTTTGTTACTCAAGGCTGGATCTGTGAGGGTTGTTCATACCCAGCCTATAACTACCATACAAGAAACCAATGCCATAAGTAGGTGGAAGAAAAAAACATGTGTTTTAGAAAGGGAAAGAAGCTTACATGTTCCAATTTAGGAACTCTAAGTGCATGTTCCAAACTTAAGGTGTGTAGGTTCTTTCAGTCAGTGTGTTACGATACTAATACTGCATGATTCTGAAGCAACTCTCAGTTTGCAAAGCATTTCCACATTAATCCACTTGTATTATCTTTCTAGGGGTTGCCCCAGAAAATAACATTCTGAGGAAATGCTTCAAATGCTGCTTGTCTCTTTTAGTAGATGGAGAACTGGGATCAAAAGTTATATCCATGATTCTATAGCTACTCGATAATAAAGCTGACACTTAAACCTTGGACTTGTGCCTTCAACTTCATTCTTCTTCCAAACCTATTGTTTACTTATCTGCTCCTCTTTTATTCCCAGTGAACAAGCAATGTACAAGCAACTTAAGTTGTAAAAGGTCAATATGTTTAGTAGGGATCAGGTGTCTTTATAAAAAATGAAGATAAACAGTGAAATTATGTTAAAAAATCTTTGTCTTTTTATGGAACATTATTTATAATGGCAGAATAGGAAGCAACTTAAATGTTTGAGATCAAGAGTAGTTAAATGTGTGCTACATCCCTAAGGTAACATCTGCAGGTCACTAAAAATTGCATTTCTGACTAGAAAAATGCTCACAACATAACAGAATTATGTGAAGTATGATTGCAACTAAAGTTCAACATAGATTTACAGAAAAAAATTAACAGAAAAAATACAGGAAACACATCATGATGTTAATAGGGACGATTTCTAGGTGATGGAGTTATTATTTGTTTTTAATATGCATTCATTTTGTCACAGTTTCCTCTTAAAGCATTATTACCTCTATAAACTGGGGAAAAGTTATTAAAGTACTTCATTGGGAGTCGATGGGGATGAAGTGGTTTGTCTTTGTTCCTGAATATTTGAATATTAATAATTTGTAAAGGATTATAGCATTTTCATATTTGTTTTCTTTTAAATGCTTACATTTTGCTAACTCAAACAGATTTACTCGGAACCAACAAAGGATTTTGGAGCAAAACAGGAACCAGAGGGAAGATGCCCATGTAAGTGAACAGAAATGTAATAAAACAAGCAATTGAACATTTTATAAATTGTATAGTAGGGAGCAAGGCTTACCTAAGAAAAGTCTTAAAACGGAGGAGACATTAACAATTTGGAGTGATTTTGGTGGTGTAGAGTATTTTCTGTGACAACTTGATGTTACTAAGTTAATAAGAGGTCATAAGATTGTCTAAGCAGCAACCATGTACATGGTGAGATGTGATTAGTAGGAGTGTTGCCTGTTGAATAGAGAATTCTCCTTGAGTTGCATCTAAATAGGATTTTCCTTTCGCCCCCAAAAACAAAAAAAGTCTCTGGGGAGAAAGCCATGATAAATTACCTGACACGTTTTTTTCTGAATTTTGTTTTTGGTTGCTTTGTTTTCAGACTACCAGTGAACCTTCTGCCCCATCCTGTGATCTCTTCGACCCAAGGCTCAGCCCTCCAATGCCGACGGCCACTCTGGGAGAACTCAACACCGTGAATGCTCAGCTTTCAGACTTAAGTAAACAAGCACATAGGCCTTTTCAGCAGAAGAGCTTGATGTGAAACTGTGCTCCTTGGTTTCTTGATTAAATGCAACCTGAGAAAGACTGAAGTCAATTTGAATGTCAGAGAACTATATCAGGAGATGCAATTATTTATTGGCATGTGGTTGGGTCAAATCCAGTACAGCCATGGGATGTATCTGGGGGAGTAGGTCCCTGAAACTCATCCCCCTGGTTTAGAATCTCATCCAATTCACCTGCCTGCTTTTATAGAGGTAGTTTAACTCCATGGCCAAACTTAAAACTACTCTGAACCACATACTATATTACCTTGAGTTTCTCTGCTATGTCACAGCATTAGGTAAGGGAATATTTGATGCAGATAGAGAAAGTCAGGAATTAAGTTGACTGATCTACATGCTGGTGAAATGGAGAGGGGAAAACATGGGCTTTTGCGGTAGAAGTCCAGGTTGAAATCTCTGTGGTCTGCCACCTTTTAGCTACCCAGCCTTGGAGACTTTCCTACCTTAGGGTGTCTCACTTAGGATTATAGGAAGTTATAGGAGAGGGTAGAGTTCCATATATGCCCTAGCTTCTTACTTTTGTGTTTGATGGAGTAAGACACACAAAATCTCTTCCATTCTAGATCAGTTTGGGATTTTAGAAAACCCAATATATTAACATTTGTTACCTTTACAATATCCTTTTTTTGTGTGTGTGGTGGAATTTCTTTCCAGTTACCATTAATAATGTTCTTTAGTTCCTGTTTGAGGAAATCATATGATTTTACGGTGGCAGAAATATCTGAGTCTCTCTTTTTGCTTTTAATTTTATTGTGGAAAATTCAACAGAACAACTGAATGACAAAATCTTTTAAAGCCAAGTCCATTTTATATTCTAGATTTCAGGTCTCCGAGTCCTGTTGTAACGAACAACTTGAAACCCAGTCTTCATCCACAGGTGGATTTGCTAGCCTGGGAAGATACAGAAACACCCCTGTAAGTATGTCAGTAAGAATCTGGAGCTAATACCAACTCATTCTAATTCCTCGTATTCAAGAAAGCATAAGAGAAAAAGTAGAGACTTAGGAATTGGACAGTCCTGAGTTAGAATTTCAGCTCTGCTTTCTACCAGCTTGGTGACCTTGAATGAGAAACTTCACCAGTGTGAGCCTTCCTTTTTCTTCTGAGAGTACTTTCTAGGATTCTTACAAAGATTGTGTAAGATGCTATAGTACCTCCTAATTAAGCAGTCGATACATAAAACCTTCCATAAATTGTTATTTTTCAGTGGTAACAGGGAAATTGAATGACAAGAGAGTAAAATCAAACAATGGCCATACAAGTTACAGAGCACTTGCCACTTGCTGGGCACTTTGCTAAACTGTGTTTGTTTATTCATTTAATCTTTGCAAAAATTTTTGGAGCTGTGCTGTTACCATTATGCACATTTTATAAGAGAAAAGGCTGAGACTTAAGGAATATAAACTGCCCAAGTTCATATAGCTATGCAGTAGCAGGTCTGATGAACTGATAGTTCACTAAAAAGATATACAAATGGCTCATAAACATAGGCAGTGATGCCCAACCTTATGTACAGTTACAGAAATATAAATTAAACTACAATGGCTTTTTTTAAACCTCTCAGATGGCTAAAAGTCTACATGTTTGTTAACCTGCTTTATTGGCTATAGAAAGACAGATTCTATCACAAAATTAATGCAGTTCTTATGAGGGAAAGTGGCAGTATCTTTTAAAATTATAAGTACATTCACGTTTGAACCCACCATATCTCATTTCTAGGAATTCATACTCGCTTATGCAAAATCAGTTGTTTACAAAATTATTCCTTACAACATTTGGACACAGCTAATAATTGGAAACAACTCAAGTATGCATCATTGTGGCCTAGTTAAATATCTAAACAATGTATTACCAGGCAGCTGAAGGACAAAAGTAGGCTGTTTGTAGGGGGACAATCACCAGTGTATTATAAAGTGAAAAACTGCAAAGTAATGTGTGTACTATCTTGCATTTGTGTAAGAAAGTAAGAAATAATGTAAACATTTGCCTCTTTGCATAAAGAAATACAAGAAGGATTCAGAAGAAACTAAAAAAGGCAAGTTTCCCTTAAGGTTAAGAAGAGGCAAGATAGAGTAGATACAGCAAAAAATAAATAGAAGTTAGATTTTATTTACATCAGAAGCTGTTGTTTTTTCCTTTTAAATGTATATATTTTAGGTAATAGGCGATGCATTTCCATGGTTCAAGTATCAAAGTGATACCTGAAAAAGTGATATGAAAAGATATACAAGGACATTACTTGATCTCACCCCACCTCCATCCTTTCTGTCCCCCTTCTCCTTATGTCACATTCTGCTGCTACCCTATAGCCACTTTATTTGTCCTTCCAAAGTGACTTTAGGTAAATAATGAATATGATTTTTTTTCTCTTTTATTAAATGCAGCACACTGTACAAACTCTGCTGAACCTTGCTTGATATCTTGACATATCTTGATAAAAGTACATATGTTTTTATATCAGTGGATTTAGATATATTTTTAGAGTTGCCTAGTGTTTTTATCCAGTGTGAGCAATCACTGCATTACTTTTATATATTAAAAAAGGAGTGGGGGGCAGGGGGCTGGAGGGAGAGGAATGAGAAAGGAGAATCAAACTGAGAAGAAAGAGGAAAAAAAAGGAGGGGGGGGTAGTTGGAGAGGAAGAAGAGGACCAAGGAAAGCTTCCTGAGTTGGGAAATGATAGTTCCAGTGGCTGTGTCATGAGCCATTAGTTGGGTCAGTACCTCTGGTCTTGATTAAGTGTGATGCAAATAATGTTTCAATGCTGTAGGCAGATTTCCAGGAAGTTGCTTAGTAAATAATGTGATCTAAAGTAACTGATTTCTGTTTTCCTTTATCCTGCAAATCATGTTGAGTAATGGGAAGGAGTGAAATGTAGATGAAATCCTATTACACAAATATCTGTATAAAGCTTATAAAAAAATAAAATACTAGCTAATAGCTGCTTATTTTATTTTATTTATTTTTTGAGACAGAGAACATGAATAGGGGAGGGGCAGAGAGAGAGGGAGAGAGAGAGAGAGAGAGAGAGAGAGAGAGAGAGAATCCCAAGCAGGCTCCACACCCAGCACAGTGCCCAATGCAGGGCTTCATCCCATGACTGTGAGATCATGACCTGAGCTGAAATCAAGAGTCAGACACTCAACTGACTGAGCCACCCAGGTGCCCCATAGCTGCTTATTTTATTTTATTTTTTATGTTTGTTTATTTTTAAGAGAGCACACGTGAGCAGGGGAGGGGCAGAGAGAGAAATACAGAATCCAAAGCAGGTTCCAGGCTGTGAGCTGTTAACACAGAGCACAACATGGGGCTCAAACTCACAAACCACAAGATTATGACCTGAGCTGAAGTCGGACGCTTAACCAACTGAGCCTCTCAGGTGCCCCATAGCTGCTTATTTTAATCTGTAATATCATGGATCTCATGCTGTAGTGTGCATAAAAATCACTTGGGGGATTATTAAAAAGTAAAATTGCTGGTCCCCAGAAATTCTAACTCAGTAGAAAGACTCTTTAGTTTTAAAAAGCATCCCAGCTGGGGCGCCTGTGTGGCTTAGTCAGTTGAGCATCTGACTATGGCTCAGGTCATGATTTCATGGTTCATGAGTTCAAGCCTTGTGTCAGACTCGCTGGTCTCAGCACAGAGCCTGCTTTGGATCCTTAGTCCCCCTCTCTCTGCCCTTTCCCCCACCCCCTGCTCTCAGAAGTAAATATTAAAAAAAAGCATCCTAGGAGAATCATAAAGCAGCACTTTGCTGATTATACATTAGAAACCCTATAACAGTTGTCCACCCGGTATCAGATACCAAAATAATTGTAGTTCTGGGAATTCACTGGAGTAAAAGATAATGTGTAATATCAGTATTTTGTTTTCTATACAAAGACTTTTGTATCTGTTTTCTGATTTTTAAAAGAGCTTATACATGAGTGAAACTATAATTAGACCAGGTTTTTAAGAGTGTCAGGAATTGAAGCACTAAAGTTACCTAAAGCATATGTCTAGGTTAAAGCCTATTCTAGATCACATATGAAAGGCAAAACCAGCCATCAAAAATGTCTTAGGGTCTTAAGAATTTTCCACCCCTCTGTGTTTATTCATTATCACAGAACAAATGAGTAATGGAATTATTCATGACAGAAAGGAATCTGGAGAAACAGTGATTATGGGATAAAGTAATAGGTCATATTCATAGTCCACTTACTATCAGGGAACACGCTAACAAGAATAAGAAATGTTTACTAATTACTTACTAGTGCTGGAAGGTGGGCACTCCATCATTCTCATTTCTTCAAAAGTGAAGGCTAAGGAAGATTAACCTGCCCAAAGGCATTGCCCAACTAGTGCAGAAACAGGATTCAAATTCAAGTGGATCTGATTTCAGTGCTTGCTTTCTTTCTGTGCTTTAATTAATTTTTTAAAATTTCCATAAGGTAAAGTTGACCTCTTTGTTTTTCTTTTGTGTGCAGTTCTATGAATGTTAACATATGTACAGATTCATGTAATCACCATCACAGGGTACAGAATAGTTCCATGACCCCCGAAACTCCCTTCGGGTATTTATTTATAATGCTTCCCTCCCACACTCACCCCCCAGCAACCACCAATCTGTTCTCCATCACTATAGTTTGCCTTTTCAAGAATGGTGTCTAAACAGAATCATACAGTATATAATATTCCTAGAAAAAGTTCTGTAAAATTGGTGTTTGCTTCATGTATTCTGAACCTTGGTTATTAAGTGCATGTATATTCAGGATTGTTGTGTCATTTTGGTGAATTGACCCTTAAAGAATTATGCACAGTTCCTTTTTGTCCCTTGTGAGTTTCCTTGTCCTGATGTCTACTTTGATACTAATACAGCCACATTAGCTTTCTTTTGATTAGTGTTAGCGTGGTATATTCTTTTCCATCTTTTCACTTTTAAGTATATCAAAATATTTGAAGTGAGTTTCTTATAGATAGCATATAGTTGGGTCATGCATTTTTATGTATTCTCATAATTTCTGTCTTTAATTGGTATGTGTAGACTACTTATATTTAATGTAATTATGTTTGGGTTTAGGTATAGCATTATATTATTTCTTTTCTGTTTTTCCCCTTTGTTGCTTTTTTTTGTTTTGTTTTTTTTTTTCTGTTTTCTCTTTCACCTTTTGGATTATTTGACTGTTTTCAGTATTCCATCTTACCTACTGTGAGTTTGACTGTAACTTTGTGTAGTTTATATTAGGAGGGAGGGGACTGGTTGTTCTAGGGACTGCAATGTACATAATATTTTAGTCTGCTTAGAACCAGTATTTTACCACTTGAAGTGAAACGTAGAAAATTTAGAGAACCTTCCTTTATATTATAGTTATTGTATATATTCTACATTGAAAAAATACCAACAAGCAGTTATAATTTTTGTGTACAACTCTCAAATATATTTTAAGGAATTCAAGAAGAATAGTCTTTTTTTTTTTTTTACCCAATATTCGCCATTTATGTTGATCTTTTATTTTCTTATATAATTTCCCTTCTCTCTGAAAAGCTTTCTTTAGTGATTCTTTTAGGGCAGGTCTATGGGCAGTGAAAATCTCATCTTACTTCATGTGAGAATGTCTTTATTTCATCTTTGTTCTGAGGGATGTTTCAATGGATGTAGAAATCTGAGTTGATGGTTTTTTCTTTCAGTTTTTAAACATTACTCCCACCACCTCTTCTGGCCTAAAATGGTTTCTAATGAGAAGTCTGTATCCATTCACATCATTGTTCTCCTGTAGGTAATGTGTTGTTATCTCTATGCTATGCGCTCAATAATTTTTTTTCCCCTGATTTTGAACAATTTGATTATGATATGTCTGGGCATGGATTTCTTTTGGTTTATTCTGTTTGGGATTTGCTGAGAATATTAGTTCTTGTGGCTGCCATCAAAAAAATCACAAACTGGGTGGTTTAAAACCACAGGAATTTATTTTCTCCTAGTTCTGGAGGCTAGAAATCTGAAATTCAGCAGGGCCACACTCCCTGCAGGGCTCTAATGGGAGAAGCAATTCTTTGCCTCTTCCAGATTCTGATGATTGTCGGCCTTTTTTTCTGATTCCTTGGCTTGGCTCACATCACTCTACTTTCTGCTTCCACCTTCATGTTGCCTTCTCTGTGTATTTCAACTCTGCCTCTGCTTTTCTCTTTAAGGTCACTTGTCTTTGAATTTAAGGTACATTCGAGTAATATAAGATGATATCACCATCTCAAGATCCTTAACTTAATTACATCTGAAAAGACCTTTTTTTTTGGGCTACCTGCATGGCTCATTCCATTAAGCATCCAACTCTTTTTTTTTTTTTTTTAATTTTTTTTTTAATCTTTATTTTTGAGAGAGAGAGAGAGAGAGAGAGAGAGAGAGACAGTGTGAGTGGGGGAGGGGCTCAGAGAGAGAGAGACACAGAATCCAAAGTAGGCTCCAGGCTCTGAGCTGTCAGCACAGAGCCCGACATGGGGCTGGAACTCACCAGCCCTGAGATCATGACCTGAGCTGAAGTCGGATGCCTAACCGACTGTGCCACCCAGGCACCCCAAGCATCCAACTCTTGGTTTCGGCTCAGGTCATGATCTCACAGTTCATGGGTTTGAGCCCCACATCAAGCTCCGTGCTGAAAGTGCAGAGCCTACTTGGGATTCTCTCTCCCTCTCTGCTCCTCCACAACTCACTCACTCTCTCTCTCTCTCTCTCTCTCTCTCTCTCAAAAATAAATAAAAACTTAATTTTTTAAAAAGACCCTTTTTTTCAAATAAAGTAACATTGACAGGTTCCAGGAATTAGGACAAGGACATACCTTTTGAGGGTGGAGGGCACCATTCAGTCCACTACACTGCATTTCTTGAATCTGTGGGTTTCTGTCTTTCACCAAATTTGTGAAGCTTTCAGCCTTACAGTTCTTCAGATATTTCAACAGTACACTTTCTATTGTCCTTCTGGGACTTTTGATGACACAGATGTTAGATATGATATTGTCTTGTAAATCTCCAGAGTTCTATTCATTAGTTTTTTCACTTTTTTCTCTATTTTGTTGTTGTTGTTGCTTTTTGTTTGTATTTTTAAGATGGGATCATTTCTATTGATTTATGTTCAAGTTTGCTACTTATTTCCTCTCTCATCCCCATTTTACTACGGAGCTCATTCTGTAAATTTTTTTAAAATTTCAGTTACTGTATTTTCCAATTCTAAAATTACTATTTGACTCTTCTTTAGGTCTTATTTTTCTTTGAAATGACTTTCTATTTTTCCAGTTTTTTTCATGAGTGTTCACAGTTGCTTATTGGAGCATTTGTATAATGGCTGCTTTAAAATCTGAGGTAGTTTTAACGTCTCTATCCTCTTGATATTAGCGTTTGTCGATGGCCTTTTTTATTTTTTGCCTGTTGAAATTTTCCCAGTTCTTCACATGCCTAGTAATTTTGGATTGTATCTTGGGCGTTTTTAATGTTATGAGACACTTGCTCGTTATTTATTTATTTATTTATTTATTTATGTATTTATTTATTTCAAATCATAGGATTTTAGTGTTTATTTTTGAGACAGAGAGACAGAGAGGCAGAGCATGAGTATGGGAGGGGCAGAGAGAGGGAGACACAGAATCTGAAGCAGGCTCCAGGCTGTGAGCTGTCAGCACAGAGCCCGACGTGGGGCTTGAACTGACAAACTGTGAGATCATGACCTGAGTTGAAGTTGGATGCTCAACTGAATGAGCCACCCAGGCACCCCAAGACACTTGCTCTTATTTGAATCCTGTTGAAGATGGTGCTATTTTGATTTTAGAAGGCAAACAACGTCACTAGATGCATGCTGCAGTTTCAACCTGCCTTTTTTTGTGCTGTCGTTCTAACATAGTTATGTTTTCAAAGACTTTGCAGTGCTTTTCATATCTGCTTCATGTGGGCCACCCTGAGGCCTGGATGGGTGTATATTCATTTCTCAACATCTTTTGCATCCTGACTGGGATCAGATCCACAGAGACACAGATCAGGAAGTGAGCCCAGGATTTCATAAACAACTTTAAGGTTGATTCTCCACATTCCTTCCTCTTTGTGATTTCTCTAGCACTCTGCTTTTCTAGGATTTGCCCTTTTGGTTCTCCAGTCAGAAAGCTTCAGTTAACCTACTATATGTCGTTTATTTCCTTGATTATGCTTGTGTCTAAAACCAAATGGTGGGACAGAAAGAATGAAAACAACAAAACAGAGTTTGCCCTGCCCTCTGGCATCACAGTTACACCTGTTGGAAGGAAGGGTCCTCTCAAATTTTTAAGCCTCTACAGGTCCCTGTTGGCTTCTGCTGTCACTCCAGCCATTTTGGGATTGCCTCAGCTTTAGAGAGGGAGAGAACAGAAAGGAAAGGAAAAAAAAGAGTAAGGAATTTCCACACTATCTCTGAGCATTAGGACTTCTCTTTTCTGCTCCTTGAGTGAAGACAGAAGGGCTTCTCCTAGAGCTGTCTGTCCTTACTGCCCACTCTGGGGTTTTAGGCTTCATTGCATTCAGGTTCTGGAACACCAGAGGTGGGGGAAGAAAGGTACTAATGATCTGTGGATACTCAAATTCCAGTCCTTCCCAGTCATCCTGTAACTATTGACTTTTCAGTCCTCAAATATTTGCCCCATGCATTCTGTTCTGGTTTTAGAGTTGGCTTTGGTAGGAGAGATAGGGCAAAGTGTATTTGGTATAGATTAGAACCAGGACCCTCCCCACCTTCCTTCCTAACCTCTACTCTGTATTGTGTCTCATCCTTCAGGAAATGATGGATGGTAGCTACTCTGATGGAAAGGTTAAAGGCTTGTTCTCACTAGTATACCATGTATACTTCAGGGTCTCAGGGCTGCCACTGCCAAGGGACACCTTCTTTGTCTTTACTCCTTGGTATTTGGACATCAAAAGCTGGTAAGCATGAAAACCAGATGGCAATTGTTACATAAGATTAATATTCCATTGCAGTCTGAAAGTACATTTTAGGTTTTGTTTGTAGGAAGTCATCTTACTTTTTGCATTTGTGTTCTCGCTGTAGGGTAATCATACTGTCTTATCATACTCTCCTAGGTTTGCCCAAAGGACCGGCCAAAACATCACCGCAAACCATACATATGAGAGCGTAAGTAATGAAACTTCCTGGGCAGCACACCTAGTCAGCAGGTTGTCATGGCTAAGAAGGAATTCCTGGTCATTAAATCTCATGTTCTGTTCAGCGTTTTGGTATATGTCCTATAACGTGTTGACAGCCCTTGTTAGGACTTCTCTTTGTCTTCTTTTTAATCTTTCAAGATGGACAAGTTGAATCTTACTTCTGTTAGAAAAATGGTTAAGGATCAAGATTCCTTTAGTGTTTGTTTATATTAGCTGTCTCCTCCTTTCCTTCCATCCTCTTTGATAGACTTCAGACAGGCTGTCTCATTCCTACCACTCTGCTGGCACACCTCTAGTCAAGGTCTCCCGTGATCTCTACGTTACCAAATCAAGTACTGCAATTTTCAGTCCTCGTCTTACCTGCTTTATCAGCAGCAGGTGACAGTCAGTCACTTCCTCCTGTTTTGCACATGTGGCTTTCAGACACCACTCATTTTTTTCTTCTCTTGCCTCCTTTCCACTATGTCTCCTTTACTGGTCCCCACTCTTCTACTGGCCTTTGAGTCTTGGAGATCCCAGGGCTTAAGTTTCAGACTTCTGCTTTCATTCTTCCATGGTCTTCTGGTCTCTTATCTTAAAATACCATTCAGATTCTGACAACTTGTAATTGGTATCTGCAGCCCATGATCTCCCTTAAACTCAGAACTCAACTTTCCGAGGAAACTCTTCTTGCTTTCTTCCTAGTCCTGGCTCTCCACCTGCACCTCCTGTACTCTTCCCCACCTCAGTAAAGGAACCCTCCACTATTGCAGTTGCTCAAGTCAAAACCTTGGAGACCAGTGCTTGCTCTCTGCCTTTTTACCGTTTCTCTTCGAACAGTGTATCCATTATCTAGCTGCTTCTCATGGCCTCCACTTCTGCATTGCAGTCCAAGCCATCAGAGGGATATTGCAGTGGCCTCCTAAGGTTACCTTGCTTTAGCCTTCACCTCCCTCTCCACCCTCACCCCCACTGTGCAATCTCTTTTCAAAACAAACCAGAACTATCCTTAAAAAAAAAAAAAGTAGTCATATTAACTGCTCTAAACCCACCTAGGATTTCCTTCCTCCATTTCACTCTGTAAAAACCTGAAATGCTGATCTCACACCTTCCATTACCTCTTCGACTTCACCTGTCTTCCTTGGCTCACTCTGCTCCAATGGCACTGGCCTTCTCTGCTTCAGAGGATGTGACCTTGGGCCCCCTCAGATAATCAGTCACAGCACCCACATCAGTCAGGACTCTGCTTAAATGTTCCCAATGGTGAGGCATTCCTTGACCATTACTGTCAGAGCAATAGCCTACCCCATCTACCTGAGCCTTTTTTGTTTTTTGTTTTTTTAAGAGCACTTGCTATCTAACATCTCTTTACATTTGTTTGCTTCAAGGGGGCAGGGATTTATTTGGCCTGTTTTATTTATAGCACCTAGTAGGTGCCCAAGATTTATTCATGAAATGAATGAGGAAGATTAGGAGATTAATCTTTATCAGTACTGATTTGGTGCTGTTATCTTATGCCTTTCTGTAGGGTAAAGATTTATTTTCCTGTTTGAGGCTGAGATTTTTTAGTGTGAAACAACAGACCCTAGACTGAGCCATACAATTCTTTTTTTTTTTTTAAAGCAAAATGTTAATTTTACATTTTATATGGGAAATGAGGTGCAGTGGGCATGAAACCAGAGAGAAAAGTAATAAGTGTTATAAATGGTTATTAACCTAAAAAAGTAATAGTTCATAATTTCTAATTCTTGTCCAGTTGGGAGGATATGGTAGTTGGAATAGTGCCACCTAGAAGCCTGGTAATGTAAATAATAAAAAAAAAACTTAATGTAGAATGTTTATTTGAACATGTACTGTGTTTTCTTCAGTTTCCAGAATATTCAAATTCAGTACTACTGCAGCCAGTTAATGTGCAGAACGTTCCAGCAACACCATCAAGCCAGAGACTGCCATCCTTGCCCATCAGTCATCCAGGTACTTGAGACCTGTTATTTGCATTGAATAAGGGATCTTGTAAGAGTATAGGAGTCTGCCGGAGATTTACTGCTGATTGAAAATAGAGAGAGAGGAAACACTAGGACTTCAATGTGCTTCTTTAAGCTCCATGAAGTAAATTCATGGCTCATATCATTATGACCGACATTCGATTATAAAAATGCTTCTGTTGTGCTGAATGTTGTATTTGAAATGCTGAGGGAAAGGAGTCTTTAGTGGAAGTTTGCAAATCCTTTTGTTCTCTATAGATTTGTTGTACTTGGGAGTAGCATTAGAACACCAGTTGTATTTGTTTCTGGCTGTCAGTGTTTCGTAGGGTCTCATGTTTGAAGTCGCAATCATAAAGAGATTATTAATTGTGTATGTGTTCTTGAAAAGCACAATGAATGTGTGTTTACTGGTGGGCTTTTTGTTTTGTTTTGCCTGAAGCAATGGCAGAGAATGATCTCCAACCACCCAATTACTACGAGGTAATGGAGTTTGATCCCTTGGCTCCTGTTGTCACTACAGAGTAAGTCATTTACAAAATGATTAATTTATTTTTTGTCTTGGTTCCCTTCAGTAACAGAGCTAAACGGGGCTTGGTTGTATATTTAACTTTGTTTAGGTCTTGGCAGAAAATAATGATCTTATTAAAAATGACTTATGAGATTTTATGGGGACTGTTGCTTTTTTTTAAAATTAATTAATTAATTTTGAGAGAGAGAAGGAGTGTGAGCAGGGGAGGGCAGAGAGAGAAGGAGACACAGAATCTGAAGCAGGCTCCAGGCTCCGAGCTGTCAGCACAGAGCCCAGTGCAGGGCCTGAACTCATGAGCCATGAGATCATGACCTGAGCCGAAGTCAGACGCTTGACTGACTGAGCCCCCCAGGTGCCCTTGGAGACTGTTGCTCTTAATGGTCTTACTGTGGTCAGCCTTGTGACTAAAAAATAAAAATGCTGGGGCTGCACATTAAGAAATAACTGGAACCATCAAGTACATTAGTGGATTCCTTGCAGATGCCTTGGGAGAAAGGTTCTCTCTAGTTTGAAAAGGACACTATATTCACTGATTGGTGACATAAGTAACACCTCATTAATGGATTATTTGAACTGTTCTTTGACTAATCACAAATAAGAATTTGTTTTTAGTCTTCACTATATGTCAACAATGTGCTTAAAATGGATTAGTGTAGTCTTTTTAAGTTGAAATCCTTGGAGTACCATTATTTCATGATTTCATATTGGTGGAGTATATATAAATATTTATGTGATGGTAGGCTCGTTAGAGCTTTAATATACTTTGACTGACAGTTTACCCTCAAAATTATTAAAGCAAGTTTATGGAAACTGTTGTTCAGAAACAGGCAGCCTTTAGGCAATATCTTGTTTACAGCTGTGTTTTGTTTGACCCATGTGGAATTAAAACCATGCATTTAAAAATTAATTGCCAAAAGTTAAAAACTGGGATATTGTTAAAAAGAAAAAAAACAAAAAACACAATTCTGGACTTTGGATTCTTTTGATGCTATGGCAACGCCAGTATTTTTAAATGCTAGCAATAGGTTGGGGCTGAATAGTAGCTGCCTCCTCAAGACAAGGTATGCTGTGTAGTTCACCAGGCCCCAAATGGCCCTCTATGCCCATTTATTTGATCTGTCTGGCATGTGTAAACATTTGAGGTTTTGACCCCTGGCTTTATTTTAAAAAATTTTTGTTTTTAGTTTTGAGAGAGAGCGCTAGCAGTGGAGACGCAGACACACACACACACACACACACACACACACACACAC